GCATCTGGATCCCCCTCTCAACTGCTAGAGACACACTGCAAGGGCAGGCAAGAGCTCTGCCTCTTAGCTTCTGCCCTCTACCCACTTCCCACCCGTGGGTGCCACGGTCCTTGGAGGAAGGCCCTGGAATCGGTGTTTCTGGAAGTCTGGGCAGGGCCTTATTTCCTATGCATCTCTGGTAGGGTATCTCACAGATCAAAGATGCCCATCCTGTTGGCTCCCAGGCTGATGGGCTGTTATTGTGCTGTTGGGAGGGTCTAATCCATGTGCTCCTTTCTGGGGGGAGGCGGTGCCAGTTATCCACGTAACTGACGTGCACGGTACCTGACCTGTATCCTCCTGTGCTGAGGCATCTGGCATGATGGGTGGTGCGTGGGCTCCCAGGTAGGGGCTGAGTGGTGTCTCCTGCAGACGTGGACGAGTGTGCCCAGGCCCTGCATGACTGCCGCCCCAGCCAGGACTGCCATAACCTGCCCGGTTCCTACCAGTGCACCTGCCCAGATGGCTACCGCAAGATTGGGCCTGAGTGTGTGGGTAAGTCTGGAGGACAGCCTCTCTAGTCTCTGCTCTGTGCCCTTGGCCCAGCTCTCCCCCTAGCACCTGACAACCCCCCTGCCACCTCTGCCTTCCTGTCACCAGTCACAGAACTGTGAGCATCTGTGTGTGAGTCCTGGCTCACCTGACCGAGCTCAGACCCCCGGTGGTGAGGCCTTGAGTCCCAGCCAATCCATGCCCTCTGCCCCTTTCCCTTGACTCCCTCCCAGATATAGACGAGTGCCGCTACCGCTACTGCCAGCACCGCTGTGTCAACCTGCCTGGCTCCTTTCGCTGCCAATGTGAACCAGGCTTCCAGCTGGGGCCCAACAACCGCTCCTGTGTAGGTGAGGCTGGGCCAGGCCAGGCTCCTGGATCCTGGGCAGGGTGGTGTGGGGCGCAGGAGTTCTCTTTCTGACCCACCTGGGGAAGGTGGGCGCTCTGGGCTGCTCCTTGGCTTTCACCCTTCCTGTTTTTCCCTGAACCCTCAGACGTGAACGAATGTGACATGGGGGCTCCATGTGAGCAGCGCTGCTTCAATTCCTATGGGACCTTCCTGTGTCGCTGCCACCAGGGCTATGAGCTGCATCGGGATGGCTTCTCCTGCAATGGTGAGAGCTCCCTCTCTCTGCTGTGCTCCTCTGTGAGTCTCCCAGGCCCTGTTCCTGCCACACAGTCCTCCATTTGATGCCTTCCCATCCCATCCATTCTGCACCCGTGTACATCCTCTGTGTTCCACCCCAGGTTGATTGCAGGGCACCTACAGAACTTCCAGTCTGGGATGGAGGGGAAGGCACAGTAGGGAGGACTCAGTAGGGAGCATTGAAGCTCAGTGGGGAGACTGACAAAGGATGCGGCTGCTCCCCTCTTGGGAGTTAGGTGGACCTGCATCCTGGACAAGGGCCAGCCACTCTTTTGAGCCCATTTCTTCTGTAAAATGGATCGTCTTGAGGATGAAGTGGGAAAATGACAAGACAGGCTTCGTCAAGTCCCAAGCCACGACGTTTTAAAGTGAACTATCATTTATTGAGCGCCTTCCCTGTGCAGGGCATTAATTTCCCCTACATACTTGGCCTCATTTAATCCTGCCAACAATCCTAGGCTGTAAGTATGAATTTTTCTTTCCTCTGCAAAACGAGGATGGTAATCTCTCCCTCGAGGTTTTTGGCGACGATTGTTAAAGAAAATAATAAGCACAAAGCCCTTCAGCAAAGAGGTTAAGTGACTTGCCCAAGGTCATACAGCTAGGGTGAGGTCGTACCAGGGTTCCACTCTGGATCACTCATTCCTTGTCAGCTGGCCAGGTACCTTGTTTATGTTGTGCTTTGGGGTTGTATGGCCCCATTGGTACCTGGCTCAGCGCTAGACAGCATGAGGCTAACCAGAGCAGAAACCCTGGCTCTTGCCTATAAACTACCTGTTGGCAGGAGGGGACTGTACACTGAGGCTGGTTGTGGGTTGCAGGAATTGGGCAAGTTACCGAAAGCTTTAACAGGCTGGGCCTTAAAGTCTCATCTAGTCCAACCTGCTCATTTTATTGACAGGGAAATCAAGGTTCCAAATTCAATCAGGACTTACACCCAAGCCTCTAGATTCACAGTGCTTCCATGAGGTCTTGTATTGCAGAGCTGGGGCAGAGGTCTGGGAGCTGGGCAGTCTGAGCAGACCTTTATTTGAATCCTGTCTCCTTACTGAGCTTTGCATCCCCATCTTTCCATACTGAGCCTAACATATGGCCAGGCTCTCTCCGTAAAGCTTTGTGGGAATGAATTGAGAGGCTTGCCCTTGGCCCAGGGCCCTCATCCCTACTCTTCCTTAGATATTGATGAGTGCAGCTACTCCAGTTACCTCTGCCAGTACCGCTGTGTCAACGAACCTGGCCGCTTCTCCTGCCATTGCCCACAGGGCTACCAGCTGCTGGCCACACGCCTCTGCCAAGGTACAGGTTGCCCCAGTGGAGCAGGTAGGGTGGTATCAGGGGCTGGTGGCCTGACATCTGGGTTCCAGCCCCTTTCCCCTGACGCAGACATTGATGAGTGTGAGTCAGGCGCGCACCAGTGCTCTGAGGCCCAAACTTGTGTCAACTTCCATGGAGGCTACCGCTGCGTGGATACCAACCGTTGCGTGGAACCCTACGTCCAGGTGTCTGACAAGTGAGTCCATGGGACACCAGACCCCCCCCCCCGCCGCAGAAACTGCAACTCCCAGAGGGCTCTGTGGCTGACTGGCTGCTATGCAGGCTGTCTAGTGCTCCAGGGCCTATGGGAATTGTAGTCTTTCATGACTAAACCATGCAAACAGTTCTAGAAGGAGTGGGAGAATCCTTTGGGGATACCTAGTTTTAGGAATGGGACCAAACTTGGGGTATAGGCCAGGACCTCATTTGTGTCCCCATTTTGGGGTTTCTAGTCGCTGCCTCTGTCCGGCCTCCAACCCCCTGTGCCGGGAGCAGCCCTCGTCTATTGTGCACCGCTACATGAGCATCACCTCAGAGCGGAGTGTGCCCGCCGATGTGTTCCAGATCCAAGCGACCTCTGTCTACCCTGGCGCCTACAATGCCTTTCAGATCCGTGCGGGAAACTCGCAAGGGGATTTCTACATTAGGGTAAGGCTTTCCCCTAATTGCACCCCTCAAGTGACATGCATAATCCAAAACTGAATTCCAGGAAACCTTAAGTGGGAGATTTGGCTCTACCACCATGTCCCGCCCCTTTTCTCAAAGCCCTGTCCCCCCAGGAGGTGGAATTTCCGCAGAAAGGTAGGGGTATCCTAAATTCCCTTGCTACAAACTACAGGTTGTTAAATGCAGTTCCAATGAGGCACTTGGACACTGGGGTTTGAGTCCTGGCACTGGTTTCCATATCTGGCCTCTGATTTGTTCACTCTTAGAACAAGGCACTGGCATGAGAAGCCTGCCCAGGTAACAGGACACAACAGGGTCTGGGGAACACAAGCAGATGGAGCTGGGCCTTGGAGAGAGAGGCAGCAGGAGTTGGTGCAGGGGTCTGGCATCCAAGAATCCAGCTCGCTGCTGGTGGAGCTATTAGGAAGGAGAGGTCCAGGCATGACTCACGATGAGAGGGGGCCAAGGGTTTATCTGATATTAGTCCTTGTTTTCTCTTTCTGCAATTGGATGCTCTGAAGGGAAGTCAGCCAGCTCCAGGTCACCAAAGACCCCACCACTCCCAAGTTTCCCACCTGGCCTTGCATCATCAGTTGACCCTGATTAGACAAAAGAACTAGATGGAAAGTGTGGGAAGGCACCAGTGGGAAATTTCTGAGGGCAGGAGCCTGGGTGCATCAGTGACAAGATGTCAAGGGTATCAGAGCTGGATGAGAGCCTGGGGTCACAGCCTGCTAGGACTCTCCATTTCACAGCCAACTGATTGTGGGCTCAAGATATGGGATGGGGAGGTGAGGCTGGGGCAGGGGTCTTGGCATGTAGGTTGACACAATCTACATGTCCCCCACCCACTATGCCCTGCAGCAAATCAACAATGTCAGCGCCATGCTGGTCCTCGCCCGGCCTGTGACAGGCCCCCGGGAGTACGTGCTGGATCTGGAGATGGTCACCATGAATTCCCTCATGAGCTACCGGGCCAGTTCTGTACTGAGACTCACCGTCTTCGTGGGGGCCTATACTTTCTGAGGTGGGGGTGGGGAGCCCTCAGGGAGGGAGAGGCTTCCTGTGGCCCAAGAGCCTGGGGCTCAGGGATGACTGTGCTCGGCTGCAAGGGCAGATGCTGTTGTGAAGAGTAGAAAGAGAAAGGCAATAAAGGGAGAAAGAAGGAGTCCTGGTGGCTGAGGTGGGTGGGTAACACTGTAGTGAACCCCTGGACTGGGGAAGTGGCTAGGCTGTGGGAGGCAGGCCAATCACCTAAAGGGGGGGTATCTCCATTCGGGCTCAGGGTGCCCCATAGATAGAAGTTGGGAACTGTGTCCCCAAGACCGGGATTGATCCATGTACCATGCACATCAGAATTGGTTTCTCTGAGAATGAAGGAGATAATAAGGCTACAGACTCCAGGGACCCAGCCCAGGAACTGGAGTTTGGTTTATAAGAGACCTGGGAAATTCTACTGTAGACATTGGAGGCCTTGGGTTCTAATCCCGGTTTGGCCTCAAACTATCAATTTGACTAAACCCTAGTAGATTCTTCCTGGGCATCAGTTTTCCAATCCATGAAATGAGGCAATTAGGATTAGTGCTTTCCACATATTTCTTTTCCAAAACACAGAACTTATTATGGAAGGATATTTGATCCTATCAGGGAACTCTGATGATATAAACTAGATTCAAAGTTGTAACGCCTCACTGACTCCATCTCCTTGGTGGTCTCAGTGCTCTCCCAGGGAACCCCAGGGTCCTTAGAGCTCAGTTTAAAAACCACTGGATCTGTTGGTCTCCCCAATTTCTGCCTGGATACTTCACAAAGTCCCTGGCATCACCTCCATAATACATCAAGCTGCAAATACTTATATTTTTATTGTAGCCCAGTGGCTTAAAAGGCTGGCTAGCCCATGAAGGCGGGGGGTGGTGGTGTAGTTGGCCTCACGGGATGGCTCAGGTCAGAGGGCTGTAGCAGCAGTAGAGCTGGGAAAAGATTCTGCTCAGAGCAGGCCCCAGATTCCTGCACAAAGAGAAATGCAGGTGAGGGTCAGACCATGAGCCAGAGCAACCCTGCCCCAGCCACTTCCTGTAGGTCCTTTTTCCTTGCCATCACCTCTGCAGTCGACCACACTTGATGGTGCTCAGCAGCATCTCCTGTTCCTTGGGGGTGACACACGCGTCATAGGCGGCCAGGAGGCTGGGGGTGGGGTGGGGTGTTTGAGTTTCTAAAGCTTGGCAACAGCGGACAGCTGGCCCACTCTTGAGTGGCTAGGCCACCATTACAGGCAGAAGGGGTCAGCGTGGAGGACAGGAGTCAGGACTGCTGCTGTACTTCCTGAGCCTTCCATCCAGCTCACCCTCCCTTCATGCAGCTGCAAATGTTCTCCAAGTGTGACTATTCTTGGCCTAGTCTTCATGGCCCAACCCCCTCATCCAGGAGCCTTCTCCGCTGCACCAGGCAGAAGCGCTCGCTCCCTCCTGTTGGCTCCCCTGGCCGCTGAGATACGGTCTACTCCTAGCTGACCCTGAGATACTGTCTACTCCTAGCTGAACCTGTCTTCCTTATCACCTGACCTCCACCAACTCCCCTCTGTCCACTCAGTCAGGTCCATGCACCCTGGCAGAGCCAGACCCCTCCGCAAAGCACTCACCTGGCAGGGGTGCTGTACTGGCCCACTATGGCTGCTGCCTTCTCCCCACTCACTCCCCGCACCTGCATCAGCTGCCTGGCGAACACCTCCTGCACACACTGGGCCTGGGATTGGGCGAGGGGAATGGTGTCAGGCGTGGCCTGGGGCTGGCCCGAGTAAGGAGGCACGGGGTACAGGCTGTACCTTGTTCTTCATGGCTCCCGCGTTGAAGTCACTGAAGGTGAGGAGTGAGCAGAGAGGATGTGGGGAGGGCCCAGGCCTTGATTCAGGATCCCCTGAGGTTCCCCAGGGGCGACTGCGTAGGGTATGGCCCTGAAGGAAGAGGGAACTGAGGCCAGGACAGAGCTCTAGGGGACAACTCCCTGCCATTCCTTGCCTAATCCTCGGCCTCAGGAGGCCAGTCTGAAAAATTGGGATCTTGCTCACTTCACTTCCTTGGGGGAGCATAGGACCCAAGGACAAATCACTTGCTCACCTGGTAGAGCCTCTGCAAGCCCAGCGTCAAGAGGGCTAGGTAGGCAGCTGACTCCTTGATGTCTGCTGTGCGCTTCACAAAGAAGCCATCGATGACCTGGAGAAGAGGAACCCACCCAAGAGATGATGGGAATTCTTGGCCAGAGCTGTGGACCATGGGGTTCCTGCAAGCCTTGCCTTGTCCTCTTGGCTCACCTGAGTGTTCGTGACAGCCTGCAGCAGCGTGCTCTCAGGAAGGCTAAGGTGGTGTGCAGAGCCATGCTCCTCCACCAGGTATACTCTGTGCCCCAGACCACAGCGCTTCAGCCGGAACTGGGGAGGTAGAGAGGCAGGGAAGGTCAGGCCTGGATGCCCATATGCTGGCTGTCTAGCATGTCACTCAAAATCATCACGGGACCCTGGTCTCACCAATCCACCTCCTCATCTTCCCTAGCTTCTCTGCCTGTCTCAAAGGGCCCCCACCTTTGCTCACACTGTTACCATTGCCTGGAAAAGCCTTCCACCATCTCAGAATGATGTCCATTCTTCAAACCTCTCTTGGCCTACACATAGCCTCTGTGACTATGCAGTCAGCCCAGCAGCCAGTACCTAACCTGAGCTGTGTGGTCCCACTCCTGGAGGTCTGGGTCTTATTTATCCTAGTTTGTAGGGGCTGGCTGCCCAAGGGGTCTTGAATATGCTCCTCAACCAGTTCAGTCACCCTGCACACCTACCATGCACCTGTAGGAGCGCAAGGGGTCTGATGTTGGGGCTGCCTGGGTGTAGCTCTAATGGAGGTGTGGCTGGAGCTATGGGAGCTCTGCCTTGAGGACACCTCTGGGCTGTGGAGGGGCCCTAAAGTGGACAGGAAATGGGGAGCACGGTGAGGCCAGTCTAGGAACCTTCTGCTCTCGGAAGCGGCCATCTATGATGCTGCTACACAGATCATCTAGCCGCTTGCGCTCCACGATGTGGTCCAGGACGAGCTCCCCAGGTCTTGCTGTCAGGAGACCAAGAAGGGTTCTATTGGCTTGTGCCCCCCCTCCCCCCACCAGGCCCTGCCTGTTATATCTGCCCCTGTGTCTACACCCCTTACCTGGGTCTCTGGGCCTGGTCTCCTGAGCCACCCACACAAAGTCCCCGACGTGCAACTTGCGCACTACATGGGTCACATGCAGCCGCTGTAGCTCCAGGAGCAATTTTGGCCTGTGCCCTGCCCTAGAATGGTGAGACAGGAGGCCTAGATCAGGGCAGGCCCCTGCCACCCGCCCCAGCATCCTCTCTCTTGCTTCTCTCACCCTACTCACCCCTTGGCTTCGCCAACGTCCACACACAACAGCACCCTGTACTCTCCAGGCCCAAGCTCCAGTGGCAGCTGCTGGACACTCCCTTCACTAGCACCACTACAAGGAGGGGAGGGAGGTGTTGGTGTGTTTTAAGGCCAGAACGCCAGTGCCAGGCAGTACCCCCTCTCCCCCCTGCAACCCACACTGGGTGGGGCAGCTTAGCTAGAGATGATGGAGATAGGATTGGGCCTCATTTCTGGGACCCTTCTGGCTCCTCTCTGTCCCCTCCCCCTCCTCCTCACAGCTCAGCAGAGGCCGCTCCTGGCACTTCTGGCTCCTTCCCAGGGGGCTCCTCTGGCCTGAAGCCCACATCCAGTGAGCTCAGGCCCTCTGACTCAGCCAGCTTCTGGGCCAGCTCCAGACCCTCCGGAGTCAGCGAGTACCTGGTAGATGAACACAGATCTCCCTTTTTCACTCAGACCTGGCAGGCTCTCCTGCTTGCCCCCAGCTAAGCTGGTCTCACCAGCCTTGGCGACCCTGCATAAACAAGTCCAGTGGCTTCCACCCCCACTGCCAGGCTGTGCTCTTGCTCCTCAGATCAGCTTCTTTTGGACCTGCCCAGGAATGTTTCCTAGTCTGCAACAAGCACATTTCAGACAAACTTCTTCCTTCTCTCTGGAGTGCTGTTCCTACATCTCTCCTCGATAAATTCTAAGACACGTCAAAACGCTGTGTCCTCAGCAAAGCCTTTCTGCTCTTTCAATAACCTGTGACACCTCCTCCTCCTCTCATCTACTGCTTGGTCTCTCAGATCCTCATGGTACTCCACCAATGTGGGCTCCTAGGAGTAAGGCCTCCCTTTCTACCCCTATCTCAATAGCATGAGGCCTGAGATTTGCTGGGTCAGAACATCACACACATTCTCCCCTCGCCCTACACACACACACACACACCTCCTGTATCCCCCTGTAGTTGACCCCACCTGGCTGGCTGGTGTGTCCTGAGAACCAGGTTCCTGTGGAGGAGGGAGCGGAGGGCTGGCCAGGGTCGAGTACTCCCAAGAGCCACCTGTCCATAGGAGAGGAGACCCTTAGAAACCTCCTGGTGCTACCACATGTCCAACTCGCTGGGCCCCATACCACTGCTTGCTCCCAAGAAGAGAAATCTCTGGTGGACTTAGGTTCTGTTTCAAAGCCACTCGGCTCTATCCTTTCCCATCTCAGCACTCACCCTGGGAGCTTTCTGGGCACATCTCTGCAGCAGCTCCTCCTTTGTTAGGAAACTATGGCCACTAGGATTCTGTAACCAGGACAGAAATGTAGTCAAGGCAGGTTCGGCGCAGGGGCCAGTCTCCTCCAGGAGCCTCACCACCTGGCTTCTCCTAACTCCTGGGACAGCCAAGTGCTCACCAAGCGTTCCCTGTAAAGCAGCAGCAGTACTGCTCGTGCTCCCGAGTGCCGAGCTGGCCAGTAGCTGCCAGAGCCTCCTGCTTTGGGCTGGGCTGGAATCTGAAAGACAAGACGTTTTGAACATGAAAACCAATCAGCCATCGTGGACTGAATCCCTGGAAGGGCTGAGGTTCAGGTTGTATCTCAGCAGGCTACATGGCCCCGAACAAGTCACTCAGCCGCCTCTCAGATTCCCTGTCTGTAAGATGGGTGGGATGATGGGACGGCCTGTCAGGCTGGGATGAGACGGTGGATGGTTGCCGGGATGGGAGTGGGCCGAGGGGTCTCATCTGCCTGACCCAGCCTCAGTTCTCCCATTCGCTACAGAAGCGCTAAGGCAACAAAAGCCGATAACAGCAATCTTCGGGGCTTACTGGTCTTGGCTCCCTGAATAGCCCAATCACAGAACTCTCAACTATTATTATACAATATCTCCACCTACAGAGAAGAAAACTAAGTACCAGAATAAGTCATTTGCCCAAGGCCAAGCGTCACTGGTGGCAGATCTGGACTCAGGGCTGCTAAGTCCCCACAAGCCAGAAAATCTTACTGCTCCTTCTCCCACTTTCCTTCTCACTCCCCTCGCCCAGTTCTCACTGGCATGGAAGAGTCTCGGACTCTCGCAGGTGGCCCTTCTGGGGTTGAACTCTTCTCTCCAGAAGGTGAACTCCGGGCATGGTCACCTGCGGGAGCAGAAGAGAGTCAATCCCACGGAATCCAGCAGGCAGGAAGGTCTGGGACGCTGCCAGTTCATGTGGTAGGTGAGGGGTGACGTTTTGCAAGCCAGCCACTAGCCTGCGGTCAAACAAAACTAGGACATGAGGGGGGAGCCTGAAGCTAAGGTATCCCAGGTGGTTTCGGAGGCTGCGCCTGGGGGAGGTTCAGGGGACCACCGACCCTGACTCCAGCGCTCACCCCCCGATGCTTTGTGCTGCTGCAGCCGCTGGTCCAGCATACGGCACAGCCTGTCTCCGAAGTGCTGCAAGATCTTAGCTTCCTTGCCGCTGCGCAGGGGCAGTGGGTACCGCCGGAGGGAGCGCAGCGCCTGGCGGGGGCAGGGGTACCGTACTGGGGTCAGGGCAGGCCTGGTTGTCCGGCTCCACCCCTACCAGTCCGCGTCGAGCCGAGACCCACCTTCTGAAATACGAATTGCGTGCGGCGCCCCCTGCTGGCTGCCTCGTCCCGCCATTCGGTTAGCCAGCGAACGAAGAGTGGGTTGGGGCAAACGGGCAGCGGGCGTTTCCGGCCCAGGCGGACCGACGCTGCCATGAGCCCCAGGGCGGGTCCTCTGGCGCTTCGCGCCGACCAGGCTGGGGCGCCGCCAGTTCTGGAGACGGGATTCGAACACCTGGCTCGAGAGTGAGGGCGGCACCTCTCCAATCACGTGGCCCCACGCGGGGCAATTACTAGAGAACAGCCTCCAGCTGCCCTCCCCGCTCCTGCGCTGCTTTAAGTGGTTGATACCAAGCGCTTTCCCTACGGCCTCTCGCCCCCTCGCCCCTCCCGGCCCAGGCCAGTCTTTTGGATCGGCCCCACCCAAACCCCCGGAGCCTTGACCCGCCCCTTCCTCCTAGCCCAGATAGGAGAGCGGGGTACTCTTTGTGCGGACAGACAGACAGACAGCGCCCCCGTGTGGATAGGAGGGCTGGATGGCAGTGATCCTTAACCGAGGAACCTGAGGTTGTCAGTTTGTCTCACCGTTGCTGAGGATGCTGGAGAGACGCTGGGCTTCTGAAAAGCCCAAGAGGTGGAGGGTGGGGCAAGTAAGTGCAGGCATATTTGTAGGAAGGACATCTAGAAAGACGTATAAGGGATGAAGATACAAAGGTAATGTAGGAGGAGCTCAAGGACTCTGAAGAAATGGTGATTCCGAGCTGGGTGAGGGGCGGGGAGATGTGGAGATCCAGCAGTGGGGGAGGGCACGAAGTCTGGGACTTTCAGGGAAGGTTAAAGCTAGGAGAACAGAGGGGAACAGAGGGCAAATAGAAGGGGGGCAAATGGGAGGTGCTGGGCCTCAGCCCGAGGTGGGGGTCTGAGATGGGCACGTGGTTAGATTCAGGGGAGCCGACTGAAGGTAAAAGCCCGGACGAAGGTGGAAGGGGAGAACACAGTCATTTTTGTAACTCATTGGAGGTGGGAGACTCTCAAGGAAGTTTAGGTTTAGGCTTTTGCAAAAGGGTCCCAGGTTGAGGGACACGTACAGCTGAGTTCGGCTTGAAGATGTCACCAGAGAGTTACAGCCTCCACCCAGCTGTTATACTGAAGTCGCGAGGAGGTGGTCTGCGGCCTTCGAGGAGTACGGAGGCTGGCACCCTAGCTCTAGGCCCGCCCCTCTAGACTCCGCCCAGCCGCGAACGCCCCCCCCCGCCCCCGCCCCAGCCCCCGCCCCGCGCGCGCCCAAGCCAGCTCCGAACTCCCGCCTCCCTCCCGAGGCTGCCTTATAAGGAGCCTCCATCGAGTGTGCGCGTTGGCCCCACCCCCTCTAGTCTCTTGTCCTAATAAGGGCATCTAGGGCATCCCGTGGCTAGGGGCGGGCGGGAGCGTGTCTCCAGGGTAACTTCGAAGTCTCTCTGCCCCTCCTCGTTGCTCTTGGAAACTCCGAGGCTTGAAAAAAAGTGGAGCCAGTCTCCTTTTCTGGCAGGGTCGTTTACAGGGCTGTGGGTCGAGCGGCGGCCTCCACCTGGGGCTTCCGGGAACTCGGGGGGTGAGCGAGCAGCGGGACGTCCTTGACTACAATCCCCAGCATGCCCTGCGAAGTCCCCCACTCCGGGTCGTGAAGACCGGGCTTCCAGCTCTTCATTTACACTCTTTATTCCGCTGATGGGATCTAGGCCCTCAGTTCCCTGATTTGCGACCCTTTCGGCAAAGACTAAGGCATGGTCGTTGTTCGAGGCCAAGGAAAACTTTCCGTAGTCCCCACCGGCTTCTTTTTCAGAAACTTAAGCTAACACAGCTGTGTCTTAATTTTTCCGAGTTTTAAGTTAACCGTATGCACGGCTGTTAACTTGAGGACGTGATTCGAGTCTGGCTTAATATCTATTCTTTTCACCGTGTCTAGTAAAAGGTGCAGTCTTTAAATTGACATAAACCCGTTTCGTGAATTTGCCATCTATCTTTAAAACAAGAACAAAGCTATATTCTTAAAGACTTCCTTGTAGAGTCTCTCTTGTGTCTTAATTTTATTGAAGTTGCATATGGTCTTTCTCAGGAAACGAGTGGCTCTGCATATGAAGGGTGCCCAAAGAATTGTTTATCGGGTTGAACACGCTTTACACTTGCGATTCCTCTTGCTCCAGGCCTGGATTCCAGGCCAATAAATAGTTACTTCGGTTCAGAAAAGCAAAATACTAAACTCAAAATTTTCAGGCCAGAAGGTGCCAAGATGGATCTTAAGAAACAGTTTCGCGGCGGTTAAAGAGCGGCGAGGTCGAGGGCTCATTTTCGGGTCACATTACCTAGAGCTAGGGGCCTCTGCCCCCCTGAGCGTTTCCTGGAAAAGTGGACCAATGGGCGTGCTCTCCGCGCCACAGCACCGCCCCCCCCGGCTGTCTCGAACTACGTTACCCAGCATGTAATAGGGCCCTGAGAGGCCGGCTGGCCAAAAAGACGGCGCAGGACCCTTGGACTTCATTTCCCGTCGCCCCGTGGGGTGAGCACCGGAAGCCCGCCCCGCCCCTCATTGTGCGGCTCCTACTAAACGGAAGGGGCCGGGAGAGGCCGCGTTCAGTCGGATCCCGGCGGCAGCTGCAGCGGCTCTCATCTTTTCTGACCTTTTTTGCTATCTCCCTTTCGCTTCCGGAAACATGGTGAGCAGCAGGCCATGGCGACTGAGGGGAGGCGTCTGCAAGTCGCTCGTCTGCGCGCGGGGGAAGGAACGGGGGAGCGACATCTGCACCCCCTCCCCCAGCGCCCCGGGCGGGATAAGGGTCTCGGGCTGAGGGGCGGGTAGCGTTGGGACGCGCGTGCGCGCCCGAGGGCGCTGGGGAGGGCTAGCTCGGCCGTCGCTCGCGCGCCCCCTGGGCTCCTTTCCCCTCCCCCACCGCGCTGGTGCGCCCGCGCGGATACCGGCGGTGGGGGAGGGGTCCGTGGTGCGCGCGCGCGTGCCCGCCCTTCGCGGAGCCGCCGGTGGCGCGCGCTGAGGCAAGTCGGTTCACGGGGGCGCGCGTTCGGCGGAGCACGCGGCATCCGAACCCTTCCCGGGGGTGTCGAAGGAAAAGCGCGCGAGCGGTCTCGGCGTGCGCGCCCCACCCAAGGGCTGTTCCTGTTTCCGCGTCACCCTCCCTCGGCTGGCGGGTCTGTCGAGAGCAGGTGGCAGGGATGTCTGCGCCCAGGAGGGGCGGGGGCAGAGGGCCGAGGGGGGATGCGGGGGCGGAGGGGTCTGCGTGCTAACGCTGGGGATTAGAAGCCTGCACCACGCCACCGGAGCCGCAGGTTTGCACCGCGGAGGTATCACGGCCCTGCGAGGGAGCCCACAAAGCGATCTGGGTTCTCCGCTCTGTACATCCGGCAAAGGCTGGAAAGGCACCGTCGGCCGGCGCCTGCGCACACGCACTGGCCCCACTACTGGGCCCGAAGCCCTGGACAAGCGGGGCCTTCGGCTTTCCCGGATGGGGCCTGAGGGTGGAGCCGAGTTTAGGGAAGTGACCCAGGCGGGCACCGCCCGGAAACCACCCCGCCCCCTGTGTTCAGCCCCAGGGCTACGAGAACTGAAGGTTGTGTAATTTGTCCATCCTCCGACCGGCAGCGGAGGGGACGGATACGCCAGTCGGTAAAGCGATTCTTCGGTCTTGAGGCCCTGGGGGTGCTACTGCCTCCAGGTACTGCTTTCTCTCCGGGTCCTAGTCGGGCCCAGGCGAACGTTTTCTCCCGCCTACTCCGGAAGCGGCAGAGTCACGTGGCCGGCTTCCTCTGCAGTTCCGGGAGTGGGGGGCGCGGCATATTTCGCTTTGGTCAGTAGCCCCTCTCTTGGCTCTCGTGTCCCCACCCAACACGACCCAAAATAGACGTTAAAAGAGCTCTTGAGGACGGTGCGCATTTGGGTTTGACCTGCTAACTTCTGTCAGCCACCTTTAGGTCCTACATTTTTCCCGAAAACTGGGAGTTAATGGGTTATGGTCTTAATTGGGGATTGTGATTTTTGCTTTGTTTGAAGAAAACCCAGGAAAAAGGATGGTTTGTGAACAACTATACTGAATAGTTATGACAGATTTAACGAGAACCGTTAAATTTCTCTGTGCCCTACCATTGTGGCGTTCTGGTTCTGTTTCCAGAAGAGGTGTCTATTCCCTGGGTGCCTGGGTCTCCTTTTCCTATCCGTGAAGTTTTAAGTCGGCACTGTTACCCTAAAGCTGAGATTGAGTACTGTAAGGAGTCAATAGCCTATGGATTCTTTTGATTCTGGGCTCACATCAAAGCCAAGGTTCTGCCTCTCAGAGATCTTCAGTTTCTAGATTGTAAAGTGTCAGATGAGGAGGAATTATGTTAAATTAGATAAGAGGTTTCTTCTGTGGCTGCCATTCTGGAGTTGTGTCTCACTTGGTCCTTGGACAGTGGTTTGGGTGGGAAAATAGTGACTCTTGTCTTGGGAAGGGGATTAATGATCTCCTCGGGTTGAGAACTTGTTGGCATCCGAGGTATATTTCTTAGGATTGCAAAGGAGGGACTTCAGGGGGGGTCCAGAAGTCTTTCTTTCATGAAAAATATGTGGCTTGTCCCCCAGGCCTCTGGCGTGGCGGTTTCTGATGGCGTCATCAAAGTGTTCAATGACATGAAGGTGCGTAAGTCTTCAACACCCGAGGAGGTGAAGAAGCGCAAGAAGGCAGTTCTTTTCTGCCTGAGCGAGGACAAGAAGAACATCATCCTCGAGGAGGGCAAGGAGATCCTGGTAGGTGATGTGGGCCAGACTGTAGATGACCCCTACGCCACCTTTGTCAAGATGCTACCAGACAAGGACTGCCGCTATGCCCTCTATGACGCAACCTATGAGACCAAGGAGAGCAAGAAGGAGGACCTGGTGTTTATCTTCTGGTGAGCTTCTCTGCAGGCACTTACTTCCTGTTACCTGCTCTGGCTCTGCCCCATCCTACTTTCTTAGGATGGGAACCTCTGTGGTTCCCAGTTAATGGAATTCTGAGGGAGGGTATTGTAACAAAAACACTTGTCAGTGAGGAACTTGATAAAAGCTTGAATGCTGGAGACCAGCTCAAGGGTTTCTTGAAGTCCTCTATTACTTGACGACACTTGCTAGACTTGGAGAGGGAACTTTGTTGCATATTCTCTGTTGTTTTCCTTCAGGGCACCTGAGTCTGCACCCCTTAAGAGCAAAATGATTTATGCCAGCTCCAAGGATGCCATCAAGAAAAAGCTGACTGGTAAGGGCCAGCATTGGTGCCATGCACCTTTTCACTCAGGCTTTGGCTGCAGGGTGGGATGAATGTCGTGGTATATGAGATTTCTCCCCCTCCTCTTCCCTGCCTGCTAGAAGGTAACCTTGTCCCTTCCATCTGTTCTGATTGGCTCCTTCCCAGCCCTGACTTCCCCTCCCCCAATGCGTCCTGCTCACAGATGCTCCCCTTCTTCCTCACAGGGATCAAGCATGAGTTACAAGCAAACTGCTACGAGGAGGTCAAGGATCGCTGCACCCTGGCAGAGAAACTGGGGGGCAGTGCCGTCATCTCTCTGGAGGGCAAGCCTTTGTGAGCCCCCTCCAGCCCCCTGCCTGGAGCATCTGGCAGCCCCAGACCTGCCCATGGGGGTTGCAGGCTGCCCCCTTCCTGCCAGACCGGAGGGGCTGGGGGGATCCCAGCAGGGGGAGGGCAATCCCTTCACCCCAGTTGCCAAACAGCCCCCTCACCCCCTGGACCTTCCTCCTCCCTCTATCCCTGACGGTTCTGGCTTTCCCAAACCGCTTTTGATCTTCTGATTCCTCTTGGGTTGAAGCAGACCAAGTTCCCCCCAGGCACCCCAGTTTGGGGGGGGCCTGTATTTTTTTTAACGACACCCCAGTTCCTCACCTGTTCCTCCCTTTTCCCATGCTGCCAACTTCTAACCGCAATAGTGACTCTGTGCTTGTCTGTTTAGTTCTGTGTATAAATGGAATGTTGTGGAGATGACCCTTCCTTGCGCCACCTGGTTCCCCTCCCCTTTTCCCCTGGTCTTGGCACTCATGGAAACAGGACCAGTAAGGGACCTTCAATTAAAAAAAAAACAACACACACAACAATAAAAAGGCTCACTAATGGGATGTTTGTTTCAGGGTTGGGGCCCAAGGGATCTTGCGGGGGAAGGTCTGCTGAGGTAATGAGCAGCATCTATCTCCTCTACACCTGGCCTCCATCCACCCCCTTCATTGGGCCCCAGAGATGGGCTGAGTCTCCTTCTGATGGTCACCACTCATAGGTGGTGCCTCAGTTGGGGCCAAACTGTTTAGGAGGTAGCTGAATGAGGGTGTGTCTGCTGCTGGCTGCAAGAGCCCTTTGGGCAGAAGTGTTGTTTTGTCTGAACTCTTTCCCCTGTAACTTCTTACCCAGGTGGACAGCTGGGCAGTGAGGGCTATTCTCCGACCCCATGCTCAGGCCTGCCTAATGGTAGGCTGTGAGACTGCAAGTTACAGAGTTCCTTTTGAACTCTTCTGTCTTTGGGGTTCTCTCTGGTTTTCGTCTGCTTGCTTTCATGGATGACTGACTCCTCTAAGAGGGCCGGGTCCAGTTGCTTCTATGAGTCAGAAGCCAAGTTGAGCCTTTGGCCTTCTGCAGATGTGACTGGAGTCCAGGGTGGGGCTGAGTCAGGTGGAGCCCAGGACTTCAGACCCAAGTGTCTTGGGTTCCACCTCCCTGTATTTAACCAAGAGGGTGTGTTGGCTGGAGCCACAAGCCTTTTACCAGCATAGCTGCAGGTTCTCTCCAACCTGTACTTTCGGTTTTCACATGCTTAGGAGGTTAAAGGTATTCTAGAATTCTCACCCTAAGGGTGTGAATGCAGGATTTATTATCTTCCCCCACCCTCTCACCTGAATTGGGGGAAAAAAAGGCATCCTGTTAAAGCTGGTTCCTAAGTTTTTTGGAGCTTGCCAGTACCTCTTAAGAGGAAAGCAGGAAGGGGTATTTTGATACTGCAGGAGTGGTGCCCTGGTAAAGTGTGTAAAGGTAAATGGTGGGCCCTGGTGCTGAGGGAAGTCAGGACAAAGAGGCCTGTTTGCTATATAAACCAGGCTTTTTATTTGAACAGGCTGGGGACAAACTCCAGGGGGTAGGGGGATGATAGGGTGGGCCAGGGCTGCCCCTCAGACTCTAGGAGAAGAGGAAGGTCCAGGCCCCTGGCCTCCCCTAGGCTGGGGTTCTTACCTGTGGCCAAGTCTGATACCCATGTTGCCCTATCTTCCTCTTGAAAGACCTGGCACCTTTGGGTGGGGTTGGGGGTGGGGCTTGGGCTTGCCCTGGGAGATGATGGGGCATGGCTAGTGGCTGCTGTGGTGGGGAAGGTGGCATCTTGTGGGAAATTTGGGGGACTTTTGTCTCCAAAGGCCCCACAGCAGGCTCTGGCAGCTCTAAGGCTCCCCCTTGAGGGTGAGAAGGGTGTTCCAGAGAAGCAGGGTGCTGGCCTGCACAGGAGGAGAGGTCCTTGATAGAGTGCTGTTCTTTCCATATTTCTAGCTCTTGTCACCACCCCCTTCCTTACATTCCTATCCTCAGCAATAATAGCTGCCATTTATTCAGGGCTTAGTAATGAGGAGGGAAGGGTCCTGCTCCAAGATGAAACAGCCCTGAAAAGTCAATGGCTGCTCACGGCTGCCAGACCTTCCCCAACACCTGCTTGCCAACACTTGGTAAGAACCTAGGGGTCTGGGACTGGGTGGCAGAAAGGCAGTGAGAGGCCATAGTGAGGGTGGAGGGCTCACCTTTGCGTGTTTGAGCTCCAGCTCTGCCAACTCTACGAGGTTCTTGCGGAAGGAGATGACACGGCGGGACTTGAAATCCATGAGCTCTGGAAAGAGGAGGGAGGAGAAATGGGGACCCTGGCAGGGTAGGCAACCCAGTTGCTGAGGCTCTGGGGCCATGGGACTTACCCTGCTTGGCTGAGTCAGAGAGACGCTCGAAGCGTTGGCAGCACCGTTGCTGGTGGCTCTCAGCAGTCCGCACTTCTCGGTTCCTGGTGCGTGCTTTGTCCAGTGCCTTGTTGGCGTTCTCATAGTCAGCCAGTGCTCGGAGCCGCCGGTACAGCAAGTCCTAGGGTCAGCAGAGGCACAGTATCACTGTTGCCTGAGGCCTCATCTACCTGCCCTCCCCTGCTGCTTCAGTCTTGTTCTCCAGCCTGAGGTTTGCTCTGGGGCCACATCTCACCTTGGCTGCCTGTGAGTCTCGCATGTAGTATCTCAGCATGTCTGACAGCTTAAGATCCTCATCAGATGCCACTCGGCCTTCCAGCTTCTGAATCAGGAAGTTTGGAGGCTAGGGAGGGAGCTTGCAGAGGAGAAACTAAGGGCTGGGGTGCTGCTGCTCCTCTCAATATCCGAGAGTCACTGATAACCACTGAGGTCAAACCCTGATGTTCAGGAGACCAGGCCAAGGAAAACTTCACAGAGGAATGGCTTCTGATCTGGATCTCGGGGGTTGAGTAGGAATCAGACAACAGCCAAAGGCTGTGCAGGTGTGCAAACCTTGTAAGTGTTCAGGGAACCATGAAATCAATGGGAGCACTTGGATGGCAGTGGTTGGATCCCAAATGTAAAATGTAAGCTAAGGGCAGTTTCTGGGACTGGCAGGGTCACTGAAGGGCCTTGAGCAGAGAAGAGATGTGATCCAATAGACAGCTGAGAAAGATTGGCACACTGTAGTGACTCTCAGAAGAGTTTAGGAAGTGTGTGTCTCGGGTGGGATGTTGACAATGCGGTGCAGCTTGCCAGAGGCACGTGGCACATCCTTGTAAATGCCGTGCCAGGCCTGGTTCCCACCCCTGCCCCCATTACCCCCCCACACATACACACACCTGAAGCTGTATCTCTATCCCCACTCCCATCTTAAACTAGGGTTAAACTGAAGGTGAGTCCAGGGTATCACTGGGCCCAACTTTTCACCAAACATTCCAAAATGATCCTGGAGCTTTCTCCTCTTTCAGGAGGAGAAATTTTCATTTATGCAAAGGATCACTGATTGGGTCCCCTTCCAATACAGAAGGCAGGACTCACCCTTAGCCTTTCGAAGAATTCTGCCAATTTGAGGAAGCTCCTAGGAGGCAGTGGGGAAGAGTTAGGGCAGGGGTCTTGAAGGGGTGTTGCTTAAAGCCTCCCTCTCTCTAGCGCTTTCCCCCTCCCAATGGCCTGCAGTGGGGAAATTTTCCCTTTCCCAAATCCCAGCAGGAACTTCTGCACCTCCCACCTACAGCTGATAGTACATCTCCACAGTGACCCCTCACGGGCAGACACAGTATTACAGGCATAGGGAGAGGACAGGAGGAGTGAGAGGGAATCCTCACATCTTCAGTTGGTTGACTTCTTGTACTCCCAGACTATTCAGTGCAGCAGAGATAGGAATATAATCGTCTGCCAAGCCTGTTGGGGAACAGCCCTCCATCAGACCCCTCTTGGTCTGGACATCAAGCCCCACCTGTGGTATTTGTGTCCTGCTCTTTTCTCTCCCTGCAGGAAGTAGGAATGCCCAGGAGAAGGGACAGAGAACCCAGGGCCCCCTGGGCTCTGCGTACACTTGTGGGAGTACATGACACGGTCTGCCCGCAGGCAGGTGTCCCGGATGCGGGTGTGGTACTCCAGCAGGAAGGTCCTCTCATGCTCAAAGAAGTCATCCACCTCCTAAGGGAGCCAGACAGGAGCCACTTATATTGAGTCAGCAGGAACATGGAAGCCATGGACACGAAGGGGTGGCACAACTTTCCTCTAGGCCATGCCCCACCAGTGGTTTCCCTCCCACAACCACCCTGGGCCTCCATCTTTGCTGCAGATTGAGGCCCTGGGTTGAATCCACAGAGGGGTCCCAGTGATTACCTTGAGCCCTGACATCCTGGTGATGAGGGCTTCATCTGCAGATTTAACAATATTCCTCAGAAATCCCCCAAGGAGCTCCTTCCTGTTCTTTCCTCGGACACTCAGCTGACGCACACACAGAGAGTAGGATGTTGGGGTAGGCATTTGCACTTCTCACCCCAGGCTCATGCCACTTATGGTGCTGATGAGACAGAGGCTTGAACCCATCTAGCACCCAGCCCCCTACCCCCAAGAGTGACCCCAGTGCTCTGGCCCAGCTCACATCCTGGCCATATTCCAAAAAGACAAAGAAGTTGTGGTCTCGGCGCAGGGTAGGGTGGGCTGCCAGGCGCTGCAGAAAGACCTCATGCATTGCAACTGTCTTCTTAAAGATGGCGAGATACTCCCTGCAGAAAATGGCAAGCAGTTGAAGGGCCTTCCTTGCCTCTGATTATCCTGCTCCCTTCCCCTCAGAAGCCCAGGAGTCAGAGGTCAGGGTCTCTAACCATAGGTGATGAAATCTAGGGATTCCCAGGAGGGGGGAGTGGACCTGGAGCTTCATCATAGACAAGGAAAGAAAGTAGCACTCACGCTTCCAGCTCCTGCTTCATTTTGGCAAACTCTTCCCTCGTGATGGAGCTGTCCCCCTCACCCAACTTTTGCAGCTTTTCCCTTGAAGCCTCAAAGTCTGGCCTTGGAGGGGCTGGGGGGATCTGCTCAAAGGAAGGACAGAGCTGGCAGTTCTCTCATTGCTGAGAAGGCCATCACCCACACCCGGAAGTGTGGCCCAGTCTTCCACCCCCACCCAAGCACCCAGGGCTGCCCCTCCCTGCCCCAGCCCACCTAGCCCTTTCTCACAATGAGACCGGCGTACTCCTCATTTTCCACATAGGCATCATGTAGCCAGATGAACTCCTCATGCTGTCGCACAACTGAGAACTCCATCTGGGTGAAGTGAGGGAGGCAGCTCTGGAAGCCAGGAAGCCTGTCTGAGGTGTCTGTCCTCCCCTTCCAAACCCTGCACTCATCAGGCATCCTGAGCACCCACTGTGGGGCTTCCCCAACCCCACATCCCAGGTGAGGCCCAAGGTGGGCCTGGGTGGTGCAGGTGTTGGTGATTTCCATCAGGACGAAGGATGGGGGATGCTTAGGACTTGGTGTTGGAGGCAAAAGGCAGTTGCAGACTAGACAAGATGCTTGTTTTCTCCAAGGGGCAGGGAGCAGGAGCTAGGTTGAGGAACAGGGCCCAAAGTCCAAGTTGGCATCTGCCCCCCCCACCCCCCACCCCAGGCTAGCAAGGCTGGGGGAAGTAGGCTTCTCCAGCTCTTGAAGCCTCCTGAGGCAGCTGTCCGAACTGCCCTCTCACTCCCCTGGCAGCCTCACCTTGGTTTGAACGGTGAACTTCACCTTGTCCCGCTCACTCACTGCATCAGAGATCTCCACCTGTAAGGAGCTGTCTCCCTGCAGGTCCACTGACACGGAGGAGGGCTGCTGGGGAGGGGAGGCCTCTGACATGGCTGACCACAGCCCCTTACCGCATCCTCACCGCAGATGTCACATCCTCCTGCCAAGCCCAGCTCAGCATCATTGCTTCTTCAATGCCCTGGGGTGGCCACCCCTGGAAGGATCCTGGTAAGTCACTGCTCAGGGCTTTCCAGTTACTCCACACTTTCATCCTTAGAAGGAGGCAGAATTCTGCCTGCTTTACAGATATGGAAACTGACACCTCCAAAAGTGAAATGTTGCCCCAAATCACACAGCTGCAAAGTGGCAGGGCGAGATTTGAACCCAGGTTCTCAAATTCCAAACCCCAACTACTTTCTCAACTACCCGTTCACCTTTTCCCCAACTGGTTACTGGTAGAAGCTGGTACCCTTTCACCAGGGCCTAACGTGAGTTCAGTAACAAGTTCTCACCCCTTTTGAGGGGATCCTGAGACCACTCCATTCGCTGCTTTTAGTGCCAAGAGGCATTGGCTTGTCAACAAAACACATGGATTTCTCTAAAAGAGAAAAGATCCATGAGGCACCAAACTACTACTAGATCATTCTTGGATTGAGCTCTCCTCCTCCTCCTCCTCCTCCTTCTTTTTAAGATTTTACTTATTCATGAGAGGCACAGAGAGAGAAAGGCACAGGCACACAAGCAGAGGAGGAAGCAGGCACCTCACAGGGAGCCTGATGTGGGACTCCATCCCAAGACTCCAGGATCACTCAGGAGCCGAAGGCAGACGCTCTAACTGCTGAGGCAGCCAGGGATCCCGAGCTTTCCTTTCCTTTTCCTTTTTTTCTCTCCTTTTCTTTCTTCCTTCTTTCTTTCTTTCTTTCTTTCTTTCTTTCTTTCTTTCTTTCTTTCTTTCTTTCTTTCTTTCTTTCTTTCTTATTTATTTATGATAGTCACAGAAAGAGAGAGGCAGAGAGGCAGAGACACAGGTGGAGGGAGAAGCAGGCTCCATGCACCGGGAGCCCGACGTGGGACTCGATCCCGGGTCTCCAGGATCGCGCCCTGGGCCAAAGGCGGGCGCCAAATCGCTGCGCCACCCAGGGATCCCCTCTTTTCTTTCTTTTCTTTTCTTTTCTTTTCTTTCTTTCTTTCAAGATTTTATTTATTTATTCATGAGAGACACACACAGAGAGGCAGAGACACAGGCAGAGGGAGAAGCAGGCTCCCCACAGGGAGTCCGATGCGGAACTCGATCCCAGGACCCAGGGTCACTACCTGAGTCAAAGGCAGATGCTCAACCACTGAGCCACCCACGTGTCCCTTGCATTGAGCTTTTCAACACACATTTATTGAACACCTACGATGTCTATACCACTGTGCCAAGTGAAAGGAAGAAGCCATTCTCCCTTCAAGTGTAGCTCCCAATATATAAACTGGCACCTGCGCCCCTCTCCCATCCCCTCAGTCTCTCCTCTCACAGGCTTTGGCACAGATTTGGCACACACTATGGACAACTATTCTGACTTCTCTCATCACAGATTATTTTTGCCTCAACTTAAACTTCATGTGAGTGCAATTATACAGTATACACTCTTGTATCCATGGTCTTTAGGGAGCTCCATCCACATAATTGAGTGCAGCAGTAATTCTCTTTCATTGCTGTATTGTATTCATATGAATGTCATAACTTATGTATCTGTTCTACTGTTGGTAGTCATTTAGATTATTTCAAGATTGGCCTGTTATGAATAAAGCTGCCATGAACATTTTTGCATACGCCTTTTATAGGGTAGGCATGTGTTTAAATGCTTTAAACTGCCAGTTTTTCAAGGTGATTGTACAAATTTATATTCCTGCCAGCATTGTATGAAAATTCCAGTTGTACCATATCTTTGCCAACACCAATACTTAGAATTGTTAGTCCTTTTTATGTTAACCATACTGATGGGGGTATAGTAATTGCCCATTGTGGCTTTAACTTGTATTTCCTGGTGAGAAATGACATTGAACACCATTTTATGTATCTATTGCCCATTTGGAGATCTTTTATAAAGTGCCTATTCAAGTCTTTTGATCCTCCTCTCCCCCGTTTCAAAAATAAGATCGTCTTTTTCTTTTTGATTTGTAGGAACTCTTTATATACCCTGGAGACAAGTCCTTTCTCAGTTATATGTGTTGCCATTATCTCCTACTCTTTCCATTGCCTTTTCACTCTCTTAATTGCTTACAGTTTTACAAGCTCCAGTATATCAGTCTTTTCTTTTATGATTAAGGATATTTGTGTACTCTCGAAGAAACTTTTGCCTACCCTCAGGTCATGAAGATAATTTATTTTCTTTTCCTCTACATTTAATAATTTTAGCTTTTATATTTAGGTCTATATTTAGATCCACTTTCATTTCATTTTGTATACAGTGTCAGGTATAGGTTATGACTCATTTTTGCCATATAATAGCCAGTCATTTTAGCACTGATATGTTAAAAAAAATCTTTTGAGTATTTATTTGCTTTGGTAGACAGCTTGCTAGAAAATAAACTGACTTCAGGGCAGCCTGGGTGGCTCAGCGGTTTGGCGCCTCCTCCAGCCCAGGGCATGATCCCGCGTGGTTCCAGGATAGAGTCCCATGTCAGGTTCCCTGCATGGAGCCTGCTTCTCCCTCTACCTGTGTCTGTATCTCTGTCTCTGTCTCTGTCTCTCTCTCTGTCTCATGAATAAATAAATAAAATCTTTAAAAAAAGAAAATAAACTGATTTCATAAATGTTATCAGTTCTGTATCTATTCTGTTCCACTGATCATATGTCTGCACTTTTGATATATCACACTCTTGATTCCTGTAATTGACAAACTTGAAATCAGATAGAATTAATTTTGTTCTTTTTCAAAATCATTTTGGCTATTATAGGTCTTTGAATTTCTGTATAAATTGTAGACTCCTGGGGCAGCCCCGGTGGCTCAGAGGTTTAGCGCCGCCTGCAGCTCAGGGCGTGATCCTGGGGACCTGGGATGGAGTCCCACGTCGGGCTCCCTGCATGGAGCCTGCTTCTCCCTCTGCCTGTGTCTCTGCCTCTCTCTCTCTCTCTCTGTGACTATCATAAATAAATTTAAAAAAAATGTTAAAAAAAATTGTAGACTCCTGGGCAGCCCTGGTGGCTTAGCGGTTTGGTGCCGCCTTCAGCCTGGGGCGTTATCCTGGAGACCAAGGATCGGGTTCTAATCCGGCTCCCTGTATGGAGCCTGCTTCTCCCTCTGCCTGTCTCTCTCTCTCTCTCGCTCTCTCTTTCTTTTTCTGTCTCTAATAAATAAATAAAATCTTTTTAAAAAAATTGTAGACTCAGGGGTGCCTGGGTGGGCTCAGTCAGTTAAGGGTTTGCCTTTGACTCAGGTTATGATCCCAGGGTCCTGGAATCAAGTCCCACATCAGGATCCCTGCTCAGTGGGGAATCTTCTTCTCCCTCTGCCCACACCCCCACTTGTGTTCTCGCTCTCATTCAAAAATTAATAAAATCTTTTTAAAAATTATAGACTCAGCTTGTTAATTTCCAACCAAAAAAAACTTACTGAGATTTTTAAAAATATTTTTTAAGATTTATTTATTTATTTATTTATTTATGAGAGAGAGAGAGAGAGAAAGAGAGAGAGAGGCAGAGACACAGGAGGAGGGAGAAGCAGGCTCCACGCCGGGCACCCGATGTGGGACTCAATCCCGGGACTCCAGGATCGCTCCCTGGGCCAAAGGCAGGCTCTAAACTGCTGAGCCACCCAGGGATCCCCAAAACTTACTGAGATTTTCTTTTTTTTTTCTTACTGAGATTTTGATTGAGATTAAATTGAATCTACAGATCAATTTGGGAAGGATAGACATTTTTACAATTTTGAATCTTCCAATCAATCAATATGAAATATCTCCCCAATTATTTAGATATTCTTTAATGTTTCTCAGTAATGTTTTGTTGTATTCTCTGTAAAGGTTTTGCATATCTTTTGTTAGATTTACTCCTAGGTATTTTATGATTTTTTAAAAATTATTGTTGCTATTTGAAATAACATTTTTAAAAATTTCATCCCCTGGTTATTTGTTGCTAGTATGTAGAAACACACAATTGATCTTTATATACCACCTTTGTGTCCAAGAACCTTGCTATATTTTCTTACTGCTTTTAATAGTTTGTAGATTATTTTGGATTTCCTCCGTATACAATCCTATACTATAAAATAATGACAGTTTTAGTTTTTCCTTTCCAGCCGTATACCTTATTTCTTTTTCTTGCCTTATTGCACTTGCTAGAACCTCTAGTACAATGCAGAAATGGTGACATGGTGAAAAAGGAAATCCCTGACTTGTCTTTATCTCAGAGAGAATGCATTCAAAATGTAATCCTGGGGCAGCCCCGGTGGCTCAGCAGTTTAGCGCCACCTTCAGCCTAGGGTGTGATCCTGGAGACCTGGAGTCGAGTCCCATGTTGGGCTCCCTACATGGAGCCTGCTTCTCCCTCTGCCTGTGTCTCTGCCTCTCTGTCTCTGTGTCCCTCATGAATAAATAAATAAAATTAAAAAAAACAAAACAAAACAAAATGTAATCCTGAAGATGATTAAACCTGAATTAGATTAATGAGACCACCTTCTATGCCTAGTTTGGTAAGAACATTGATTTTTATCAATGTTTCCTTCCTTTATTGAAATATCAAATGGGTTTTTCTGTATATGTCCCAAATTTCATTTAATGATTTTCAAATATTGAACTACCCTGCATTCCTGGAATAAGGCCTTCATCATGAAGTATTATCTTTCTGTTTTTTAGTTTTAATTTTTAAAATATTTTATTTATTTATTTATTTATTTATTTATTTATTTATTTGAGAGAGAGAGAGCGTGAGTGTTTGATTAAGGAGAGGAGCAGAGGGAGAGAGACAAGCAGACTCTGCATT